AAAAAAAAAAAAAATTGTTATGAAATCTCCGTGCATCGCACGGAATTCTCACTAGTTATTATAAATAAAAAGAAATTATAAATAAAAAATTATGACATATTTTTCTCCAAAATTTATAGTACATGATGAATTTAATGGCGCTGTCTAAATATCGCCCCTATATATAATTCCCGAATGCGCTGAGCCTACGTGGCTGCTTTTGGTGCTTCGAAATCCTACTTGGCGAAGAATCATGCTTCGTAATTAGGTTCGGACAAATAATATTGATATATTATTAATTAATATCTAGGTTCGGACATTCTATAAATATTATTTAGCTAACTTAGGTATTTTAATATCACTTGTACTAATATAACTCTTTAATTCCTTGAAATTTTACATAGTAAGACACTGAGTGACTAATATATCCCTGACTTTTGATTTGTTTCCTTCAATTAGCTATTGAATTATAAATGTATTTTTAAAAGTTGATAACTTTTGTATTTCTTATCGGTTTTACATATATAATATATCAAATTAATCATCTTTTCATGATCTTCGATTTGACATCCATATTGTATATATAAAAATAAATAATATTTACATTTATAATAATAAAAAATAATATTTATTAAATTTTAATAGAAAAATAAAATTATTTCTCAGTTGATATATTTTTGTTTAGTATAGTTATATGTTGTAAGTTAAAAAATTATTATAATATAACACAAGTATGTCACACAAATAAAAGTGTCATACTAAATATATAATAATATATTTTTATAAAAGTTATTTAAATTTTCAACTACTTTTTCTCAATAATTTTAGATTTTAAGGAAAAATTAGCAAGCACCCGTGTAATACACGGGCGTTGTACTAGTATATTAACTCTTCTCAATTATTTGGCGAACTTAATTAGTTTTTTTGACAAAAAAAAAAAAAAAAAGACTATGTTTAAATTTTTTATAAGGCTAAAGTGCAAATTAATCTTATCTTTTATTTCATTTGCATTTTATTCCAGATGTTTCAATTTTCAACTAATGTTGGCAATTAAAATATATGAGTTTTAAACTAATAGGAGCCGACACTCAGGTATTCTCCTGTTGGAAGTTTTTTTTAGTTTTTAGTTTGTGTCGGTGTGGTTGGTTGGTGTAGTTTGTGAGCTTTGTTATTCTAGCGTTGCTAGGTCAGACTTTAGATGATCTTTTGATCTGCCTCTCAGTTTTTCCAGTCTTCGGTTGTACTATTTAGCCTTTTGTTGCTTCTCTTTGCACGTTGTGCGGTTTTTATTAATATAGTACCTCTATCATTTTGGAAAAAAAAAAGAATGAACATATTAATTGGAGAAAAACTATATA